TACGATTAGTGCTATAGTCATTAGTTGAAAGTACATCACTTATTCAGATTCATAAAACAAAATCTAGCTCATCGTGTGTGGGTGGGTCTGGAGACAGCATGCGGTAGGCCAGGGCCGGGGCTGTGCTTGCTGGTAACTGCCAGTCTCTGTGGGACCAGGGCCAGCAATGGTGGCAACCACAAGAAGCCTCTGCCTAGTAATGGAGTCCAGCTGGAGAGCTGCCCTATCCCTGCTGTGTGCCCGAGGGTGGTGGGATATGCCATGGGCCAGATGGGACAAAGGGACCCGCCACAGGCCAGACAAAGTCCCTCTTGTGGGCTGTATTTTGCCCACCTCTGAGCTAGAGGGATAACAGCTACCTACGAAGCTCCATTGTCTTTGGAGGGCACTGCACAAGTATAAGAGGGAGAAAGATTTAAGCTATTATTGCTGCTTACAAAATCATCCCTGTGCCTGAGAACTTGTTTTCTTAAATGCATGCTAGACTCGGACTTACTTAATAAGGGGCCAAACTGTGTCCTTGGATGGGTGTATGTGATTACCATTCAAATCAATGGGTTGTGAAGTCACAAGCCAAAGGAAAAAAATTGGTCCAAAAACTTTTTGCATATAAAGCTGTTTTTAAGTTTTTTCCTTTTAAGTTATTTTGTCATTTCCCAGTTTTGGTCCTGCCAGTCCCCCCCTCCCCAAAAAATCTTCAATACTTTTATTGGGAATATTAATTTTTCTGTGCAGTTTTAAATCTAACCAATGTAATTCTATGGTAGAAATATAATTCTCTGCTAAATTCTATAGGATGAGTTAAAAATCTGTAGCAACTGTATTAAATCCCAGGGGGTTGTTAAACATCACCCTAATATTACCAGGGTGCTAAAACAATTTTTGTACAAATCTAAGTGTGTAAACATTTGTGACAGTCTATGGGATTCTTTCATAAGAGTATTAAATGTTTGATTTTTGTTTCATTCTTTATAATGAGATTTGGTCTGATCATTTTTTTTTCTTCCCTGAGAATAAGTCACATTATTTCTTCATAGGTAATTCATTTCAAAATGATGAAAGAGAATTAATTATAGTAAGTAATTAAACAATCAGGTTGTTTTGCTGATTTTTTTGGGCCCAGGCCAGGGCCCACTGAAGTGACAGAGCACTCTCATTGCCTTCAATGCACGTTGGGCCAGGCCCTTTATTCGGCTTTTTAGCAGCCTATAACACAGTTGTATGTGAATCAGTATTGATCCTCTTGTGGCATTTGACAACTTTCTTCAAGGCTCCAAGAAAACTTAATTTTGCCCCTATAACGATGGCATTTTATGTAAAAACTGAAAGCAACATGTTACTAGGCATCTAAACAGTCCTATTTCCTAATCATGAGAACCATTTCCAATGTGCTATAATACACATGCAACCTTACTCAGTATAAAAAACCCTACCAAATGGCTTTAGCATTAGAAATACAAATTTATAAGCTGTACATATACTTGCATAACCTTATAATATTGTAGGATTTACGTGCTTTATAATACAATATTACATTTCTTTTCACAAAAAAATCCTTCTCCTTCACTAGCACATTAAGCTCTGAGAAAATGGAAGAAACTTTACAGTTCTCAATGGATCCTGGGATGATGGATGTCCTTTGGAAATCTTTACAATGCACTTGAAAAGAATACAGAAAGCCAACAAAACACGGCCAACCACACATTTTCAATTGGGGAATGGCACTGGAGGGCACAGTGAAGGCTGGGAGGGTGGGTGTAAATTGCCTGGGGTAATAATGAGTCCCAAGGAATTACTGGGCAATGAAACTGGCTAGACTCATGCTCTGTTAAGCTTCCAAATTATTAAAACATTCAGTAGAGACAGGTGAATGGTGTTTTGGCTTTTGACAGGATTCCTCTGAAATACTCTCAACCATAGGAATCTTCAATGCTTTTTAATTCTCCCTCTCTCTCTCCCCCCTCTCCCCCGCCCCC